CAGTTTCGTCGCGGATAGATATGCAGGCCAAGAGGCATGTTTACTCACCCAAATACCGAAGCAAGCCCAGCCTGTTGACGTGCAAGCAAATACAAAGGCGACATCTGTATTGAAAGCTGCAATGGGCAGAATTGGGTATTTAGCCCAGTATATTTCAATGCAGAAAAATCCTGCACCGAAGAGGACACCGAGGATGAGGCAAATATAGACGTAGGGATGTTGCCAACCAACAACAACCGCCTGATTCCATGAAAAATTAACCAGCACCAGAGCCACAACACCTGTTAATCCTCCTGGAATATCCAGTGCTTCGAACTTCTCCGTTAGCGACTTTCGCGGTGCTGTATAGGAAGAGGAAGGAATTATTAATGCGGCGAAGATGGCGATAGACGCAAGTGCAATAGCCTGGCTCCAATAAATCCACGGCCACCACGTTGAAGAGAAAATACCGCCGAATAAGAAACCAGCGATGGCACCAAAAGGGGCGGATCCACCAAACCATGCAAAAGCCATATTCTTGCGGGACCCAGGAGAGTACGACCGTCCCAGCATTGCAAGACCGTTTGGGAGAGTCAACGCAGGACCCATGCCCTGGAACACTCGAGCAAAAATGAACAGAACGTGCGTGGAGTAAATGGAGAGCCCAGCTATTAGACACCACAGGGAGTACCAGCCCATGCCTATGACAAACAATCTCTTGTGGCCGAACTCATCCCCCAGCCGGCCGCCGATAAGAATAAAGGTCCCGATTGTCAGGCTATAACCTGCGATGAGCCAGGACAGCTGCCCGCCGTTGGTGATCCCGAAAGATCGACCAATTACACCGACAGTCGTAAGAGTATTCCCCAGACCACATTGATTCGTGAACATGGCAGTACAGAGCGTGCCAACGAAGAGTATCTGTCGAGGGGTGGAGAGTACTTCAGCCGGATAGGCATACGCGCTGTCTTCGTTTTGCGAAAGGGAATCGACATCTGCATGTTCATTAAATCAATATTAACAATTATGGCCCCTACAAAGAAATCTTTCCAAACTCTTACTATATTGTTGTAGGTGTCTCTCTCCTGTTGGTTCAGGTTCTGATTTGACGGCCTGATCCGTCCTCAAAGGCGATTCGACCATGATCTGGTGAGTTTTTAGTTGTAAGAGCTTGAAGAAGCATAAGAATGCATAATCCTAAAATGAAAAGATTGAATATATACTTAAAATGAAACGGCAAATAAGAAAAGTAAACAATTGTCTATTGAAGGTACGAGTAATAACCTGAACTCATTGGAGGCGGATCGGACCATTAAAATGGTCCGCCCTAAGAGCGACTAAGTTGTTGACTTGAGCGACCGCCACCGTACTTAGTAAGTCAACACTCCGTCTCTCCTACGACCTCCTAAGATAGTTATTGAACTGAAGAAGACTCTGGCTGCCACACGTATGCATTGATTTGGTCTTACAAAACCAATTGCCAGAGCGCTTACAAATGGAGATTTGCCCCTGCCCGAACTTTTTATGAACAAAAGTGTCCACTGCTTTATATGATCGATGACTGGCATTGACTGCTGCCCAGTCAGCTTAGATAGTCAACAGAAAATTTGTCTAAGCGAATGTATATTACAGTCTCCTATACTAACTTCTCCTGCTCCTCTGGAATACGTTGTATTCTTGATTCGAGATGTATGGTATGGCTTCAACAAGTAAGATAGTCCAGCCTGGCGGGCTTGTGTTTATTACTGGAATCAATGGTTTCGTCGGCTCCCATATCGGAGACAACCTGCTCAAACTAGGCTATAGAGTTCGCGGAACAGTCCGCTCTGCAGACAAGCTGGCTTGGGTCAAGGAACTCATGGCTGAACGTCATCCATCCGCAAAACCTCAGCTCATGATTGTCCCTGATGTGACTGCTCCGAGCATCTGGGGCGAGATAGTCAACGGCGTTGATGGCATTGTTCATGTCGCAACAGATATGTCATTTGGGGCTGATCCAAAGCTTGTCATCACCCCTATGGTCAACAGCGTTAGAAACCTTGTCGAAGCCGCAGCCAAAGAAGCCTCAGTCAAGCGCTTTGTAATCACAAGCAGCAACCGCGCGGTTTATAATGCGACCATTGGGCACGAGAACACCCTCGATGCTGGCACGTGAAGTATGGCAGCCATGGACACTGCCTGGCGTCCACCCCCGTATGAAAAGGACCGCATCTGGGATGTCTACGCCGCCCTCAAGACTCAATGCGAACAAGAGGCTTGGAAATTCAGCCGGGAGAAGAAGGACTTCGTGATCAATGCCGTTTTGCCATATTTTGTAGTGGGGCCCATCTTGCACGCCAAGCAGCAGGGTAGCAATGGCAAGTGGGTGTTGGATTTTTGGAGGGACCCAGGCAACTTCGCGCCACTACGGGACTTTGGTGGTTCGTTCTTCATTGACGCTGAAGACGCAGCCCTCCTGCACGTTGCCGCCCTCACGCAAGAGGATGTACAGAATGAGCGTTTGCTAGGATTTGCTGGGACGTTTAATTACAATAGCTGGTTAGATGTCTTTCGTCAGTTGGACCCTAGGAGGGCTTGGCCGCCGAATGATCCTAACCAGGGTCATGACGTTTGCAAAGTTGATACGAGGAGAAAGTAGGAGTTACTGGATCGTTATGGGCGAGACGGCTGGATAGAGTTTTACAAAAGCGTGCGTAGAACGTGTTTAGAAAGTCGCGCCAAGTAGTGCGGTGCATGCTCTCCTCGGAATTCATAGTTAATGATTGAATAGTGATTTCTGAAGGCTAAGCATATAGAGAATCTTGACATATCTCATTCACTGTAGATGCTAATTTGCGAATCAAGGGAGAAAACCGTACTCTAACTCTTACACGGCCTTCTATCCTGACATGCACAGCGCCTTTTTTTTTTTATAAAAAAAAAAAAGTGCAAATGCTGCATCTAGGGGAAATCTTTATGTGTTTCCTAAAATACTCGCAATGTCTTCAGCCTGTTTTCCTCATATCACTCTACAAGCATAGCAAGTCCCACGGATTTGATCGCCTTTCGTGAGTAATGGCGGCTGCGCAGCGTGTCGCTGGGCGGCTGACAAAGCGCTACTCCGGTAGCACTAACATCGCTCAAGATACCCGGACCCTTTGAAAGGTCCGCTCCGATGCACCTAGATGCGGATCCATCCCCAACCATGAGACAACTTAGCCACCCATCTTATTCTTGACTTCCTGCTCGGTCGAGCGATGCGAGCTGGCTAATTCTGATAACAATCTTCCTCGGATATGCAACCGGGTTAGCAGGATGCCCTTTGAGTTTGTCAATAACGCCACTATCGACCGCAAGGCGCGGAAGCTCATTCGCAGCCATGTGGCTAAGGGTCGGAACGTAGGCAAGAAACGACAGCCGAGACGCCGACCGACTGAAGCTGCAGTCAGGTGCGCGCGGCTCTACACCTCCTCAGCACCCTTCAGGTCGCTGACCGCAAAGGACACGCAGATGGTACAAACCAGTCTGCAATATCCCCCCATGATAAAGCTGGAGCGGCAGATTGGGGATGGCTGGTCGGTGCTATCTTTTCCCGACGACATCGCCCCCAACTCGAGATCTGTCATCCAAAGGGGTAGATATTCCAACTCTTTTTATCATGCTTGTACAGCATGATCGCTAACTTTCGTCCTAGCTTTCTTGTTTCTGAGTGGGCCTCATGGAGCACCAGGGTTGCGTAATGTAATCGATTATACAGCGGCCGGCACTCAGATGATCGCCTTCATGTTTGTCGACGAAGCCTGTAATATCCCCTCCTTCACTCTTCACTGTGGATTCAATATCTGACGTTGTGTAGATTTTCATTGTGCTATTGCTATGTGCTACAAGTCTCTTGGTTCACTTTCTCTCGGAGAAGACAACTCTTCAGAGGCTATGCGCCACATCTCGCAGAGCTACCGCCTGATCAACGAGAAGCTCTCCGGGAATAGGGCATTGGATGACGCGACCATGGTTGCAGTCCTTGGTATGACCCATTGGGAACGGATTCAAGGCCGTCACCGTGACAGCGTTACGCATTTGCAAGGGCTGCTCAGGATAGTTGCTCTGCGAGGCGGCATCTCGCAGTTCGCACGAGAGCAACCTTTTCTGGCGCATAAGGTATTCAGGTAAGAGAACTGAGTGGCATTGCTTATATAGATAGACCTAGGATGCTTACGCCTTTCAGGGCTGACCTCGAGATCTCACTTCACGTGGGTTCAACGACACGATTCAATTTGAAGGACATCTCGGAATACGCTGCCGAGTCATGGTTTCAACTTGGATTCGAAGGCGGGCATGTCAACGAGATTCGCGATGCGCGGCGATCAATACAATCTGAAATTTCATTTTCTGATGTTACGGCCAATGTTACGCATTTTGCTTCTCTTCTTAATCGTTGTGCGAAAATCGACAGAAAGATAGACCAGCGCGACTTCAACAATTCTATCATGATGCTCGGGTATCGTCTCATCCACGTCAGCCCTCTCAATGGCCCGAGACCAACAAACGCCGTGGATGATATGCTTCATTTCGGCCTAGCGGCATTTTTGACATCCTTTCTTCTTGAAATTGGTGCGAGACCTCAAGGCTTTCCCTTGTTGACTCACACAACATGCGCGGCTATAGAGATACATTCTGAGCAGAGTGTTCAATATCGCGAGATACTTCTTTGGACTCTATTTGTCGGAGCATCCTCGACATTCAGATGTTTGGATGACCGCTGGTTGATTGCAAGAGTGACGGATACGATGGTATCATTGGATCTTAACACTTGGGAGGATGTGTCACGAACGGTCTCAAAATTTCCATGGGTCAATAGCGTACATGATCAGTCAGGTCAGTCTCTTTGGCAGAAAACCAGACCTGGCCATGGGAAGGGTAACGAGCTTCAGCCAAACTTGCCGCTTTCATGAGACGACATTTGCAGGGGGCTTTATCAAATATCAAAATGTCTGGGAAACATATTCTTGGTTATCACTAACTGAATTCCATGTGGAAAACCATTACGAGATTTTCTTCAAGCAACCGGGTTCTTTCGCCTCAAGCTCCTTGGCAATGTCACTCCAAATACGCTTCTGAGCTTGCTGCCCGTCCTCGTCAACAATCCAAGGCGCGAGCTGATGCCTGGCATAATACGTTAGTTTTGTGGATCCTTAACCTTTTGCGAGAAAGACAAATGACTTACTCCCTGATATAGCAGCTCCCGAGATAACATCCATGGCTTTCTTCGTCAGCGACCGCGCCGTGCAGAAGTGTGCGACTCCCCATCTCGGCTGTTCTGCCCATGATCAGATGGATTATTCGCAGCTGGATCTTGAACGCAAGATCTGCATTTCGGGAAAGGGTTGTTTTGCAAACACCAGGCGAGACGCAATTGATGACAACCCCCGTTCGTGATACAGGGAGCAGCTTTGCAAGCTCGCGGACTGCAAAGATCTGAACGAGCTTCGTCAAGGGATATCTACACAGCGTCAGGTTGATGCTGGTTCCATGTAGCAGATTTCCCGGACGCACCTATTTGTCATACCCGGAGTCTCGTCATCCATCTTTACCAAAGGGTCATCCTTTATTTGGTCAAACTGCTCCTTTGCAACGAAGCCTGCACCGCTAGTCACTACGGTGAAATGCGGCACGATCTTGAATTTCGTTGCACTCTCCATCATCTTCGGGAAGAGCAGGGTGCCGAGAAGAAATGTGCTCAGTACGTTGATGGTGACTGAGCTCTCGTGCCCTTCCTTCAGAGCATATTGGTTTGCATGACCCAGAGCAGTCGATGCATTCTCGACCAGCGCATCAATGCGCTCCAGCTGGTCGATTGCTTTCTTCGCAAACGTCCTAACATCGTCGTAGCTGGACTTGTCCAGCTTCCATACCTCCGCGACATCGTTTGTCTTGGTCGCTGCTTCGATCTGTGCTTTGGCTGCCTCGCCCGTCTTGGGGTCGCGCACCGCCAAGATGACCTTCTTGGCTCCGGCGGCGACGAAGTGCTTCGCTGCTTCGTAGCCGAGACCGACGTTAGCGCCCGTCACGATGTAAGTGCCGCCGGAGCATTGCTCCTCGGTCGCGAGCACTGGGAGGTTCCAGTATTGCTCTTTGACAATCTCCCAGCTGAAAGCCATGGCGAGAAATCGGTCAGAGAAGCGGCGGTCTGGAGTGAAGAAGTTAGGGAGAAATTGTGAATGGTTACGCAGCGGGGACACTCAAGTAGTACCAAATATTAGCACTCTCAGTCAAGGAAGGAGACGTTTTAGCCAGTATATAAATGACAAGATGCTTTAATTCTCGTCTCTTACACTCGGTGCGCCTCAAACAGTGATCATGTATGTACCAATCAGATGGTCACTTTCAGTCGGTTCCTTCCCGAGAGTTCGGTTTAGCTCGCTCTAGCCGTCAGGACTTCCGTAAAGAGTAAATGGTCCTCTTCGCTATACTAGAGAATCAAAATTACCATCGCCTCTTCTTATTCTCCTAGAATAAATCATCACGACACAAAAACAGCCTCCTGACGGACTTGAGGCTCTCCCCTATAGCCGATAATTAGGTAAAATCCGGGGAAGTCTATCTTGTAGTCGGGACAACATTCCTGTCCACACAATGGCACTTCCTGATGGGGCTGGCACCCTGGTAGCGTGGAGTGCGATTGATTGGATCGTGGTGGACTCGTCTGAAGACAATTGCGTGCCGGTGCATGGGGCTAGCGACCGATTCGGGCGAAAATGGTTGATTGGACCAATTAGAAAGTGGTTTCCCAACTGGGGAAAGCGCTGTTCATGGCCTGTTATCGTGTCAGTGGCACCATGGATGTCCAGGAGTCTTCAAAGCTTAAGTCCGCAATTTGCGACTCAAAAAGTGCATCTAGGCTGGAATGTATGAAATTCTGGACATGATTTGGCAATTGAGCGAATACACCAATGCGATTTATCGTCTCTATGCTAATATCTTGGACTCTAGTAAGTGTTCTTGGTCCCGAACGCTTTATCGAACCCAGTCAAGGTAAACCTGTAGTGAACTTTATTCTCCTTGACACGTTCCACTGCCTCCTTGCAGCCAGCCTCAGAGATATCAATCGTCTCAATCCACGGCCTGACACCCTTCTCCGCGGCGAGCTTCAGCAGATCATCCATCTCCTGGTGGTTGCCGATGTGGCTTCCCGTCAACTTGGCAGCATTGCTTGTGAAGGCAAAGGCCTGCAGCTCGGGCAACGGCTTATCCGGGAGACCGACCATGTGGAACTGGCCACCGACCTTCAGTGTTGATAGATATGTCTTGAGGTCGAACTCGTTGGTCATATCCGAACAGTTCAGGATAAAATCAAAGGTGAATGCCCACGGCTCGGCCCAGTTCTCCTTGCCCGTCACGATGGCCTCTTTGGCGCCGATCTTCTTGATGTCATCCACCTTGTGATCCGAATGCGTCAGTGCATACGTCTCTGCGCCGAGGGCGATGCTCCATTGCAGGCCAAGATGACCAAGTCCACCGATGCCGCATACCGCGACCTTCTTTCCCGGGCCAACGCCTGCTCTGACCAGTGGCGAGTAAGTGGTGAGTCCGGCGCAGAGAAGCGGTGCAGCGGCATCCGAGGGCAGCTCGTCTGGAATCTTGAAGGTGAAATACTCGTGTGCGCGAATGTGGCTCGCGTATCCGCCATGCGCTTCACTGCCATCTTCATATTTGGCATTGTACGTGTCTTCAATGTGTGAGTACAGATTCACAAAACTTTGGGCAAGTCAAGACAAAACTCACCAACGAGCTTGGGACAGTAGTTTTCATTGCCGCTTTTGCATTGCGGACATTCAAGGCACGACCACACTTGAGCGCCGACGCCGACTCGATCGCCCTCCTTGATATCCTTTACGTCCTTGCCGACCTTGACCGCTTTACCGACGACCTCGTGGCCGACACAAAGCGGCGTGATGCTGAATTCTGGGCCCCAACCGCCCGTAATTGTGTGTACATCTGAGCCGCAGACACCACATGCCTCAATTTGAACATCAATGTCCTTGGGCCCAAATGGCTTGGGTGTCAATTCATGTTTCTTGAACTCGCTCCATTTCTTTGGCGTCTCAACACAAAAACCTTCGAATGTGTCCGGATAACCCATGATGAAACACTTGGTGAGAGATGCGTTAACTACTTGTAATTGCAGATTTTACCTGACAGTAGATTACTGCGCAACAAAGATCTAATCACATAAGAATTTGGTGCAGAAAACGCATTTATACCACATCTGAGACTTCTCAGGCGAAGTTCAGCATCATCACCAGTGTTGCCCAACGCCTCTCTGGACACGGGTGTATAAATGACGTCGTCGATTTCAGAGCCCTAGGGGTGCGGCTTACACGATTTAGAGCTTTTTACCACGACTAAATCACCGAAATGGCTTAACGCCGAATACCAGAACTCTGGAACATTTGCTCCTAGACTGAAATTAATTATCTAGTAAGAGGAGTGTGCCGAGGCAGAAAGTGAATCTCAAATACCCCTGACCTCATTGGCATTCAATGACATGGCCGGCGTGGACACCGATTCGCTGGGTGTAGGTAGCTCCGGCGGTGCACTTAGTAAGTTTTCTCGGTGCTGCATTTCGATGACGACGTTTTTGCGTTTGTGCTGAGAACTCGGCCGAAAAGGACCGGGCATCTCCCGAATGAAGATGACGATCAAACATCTGAATTTTTAGTCACGGGAGCTTCTGCAATCATCCCCGGCCTTGATGGGCACTGGGACTTTTGATCGCATTCTGTTCATCGTGCCATTGGTGCCCTCGTACCATTTCGATTGTGAGATTTCTAGAGAGATCCACTGGACACTTGACCAGTGAGTGTCTACGACGTTTTTGAAGGTTGAGGGTGTCATATATAATGTAGATGGCCAAATGAGATGCCAGAGAGAGGACCCAACGTATCGTGAAGATGCCTCAAATCGATTTTAGTGTAATCAACACAGTTTGAAAAGCTGTTCAATTGCCATTTGCCGGGGAGACGGTCCGGTGAAAGTGAAGTGCCTGATCGAAAGTCAATAGAGGGGCAAGAGTGTCGGGAGCTCCGATACGGCGGCCATAGCTCCCTAGTCGCGACGGGCGGGGTTGTCCATTCTCGACGCAATAATTATCGCCGACATCTCGACAGCAACGAATCTAAATCTGATCGTTTGTCAGCCCTCAGTCCCATTGTGACCCTTGCGCCTGAACGGTTGAATGAACTCACTTCGAGCTGCACAGCGACTGAGACTACAAGCCTCTCTGATCACAAAGTCCATCAAGCTAGGTACAATACTGCTACACTCACTTCCCCCGCATCGCGAGCTCAATTCTGACGTAGCCATACATGTCTAGGTAGCTTTGCATCAGCACCGAGACTCTTCGCGACGATGGCGGGAACCACCGACACAAATACCTACAAGTTCAACCACTCCATGTGAGTACTAGGGCGCCGGGACTCTTTATATATGCGCGCGACTGACATGGGCTGTTACAAGGATTCGGGTCAAGGACCCTAAGGAGTCGGGTACGTAGCATGACGCCGCACATCTGAGAACCCTGTTGACCAATTCACCTTTCCCTCCGTCCAGTCAAGTTCTATGAGTTCCTAGGCATGAAACTTGTCAAGCAGCTCCAGTTCCCCGAAGCCAAGTTCGACCTCTACTTCCTCGGCTACGACTCTCCGAACGCCCTCTCCCACGGCAACTCGACCTTCGACCGCGAGGGCCTCATCGAGCTCACCCACAACTACGGCACCGAGAACGACCCTGACTACAAGGTGAACAATGGCAACGTCGAGCCGCACAGGGGCTTCGGCCACACCTGCATCAGCGTCGACAACATCCAGGCGGCATGCCAGCGGATCGAGGATGCGGGCTACAAGTTCCAGAAGAAGCTGACGGACGGGAAGATGCGCAACATTGCCTTTGCGCTGGATCCCGATGGATACTGGGTCGAGGTCATTGGCCGCAAGCCGATTGAAGAGACGGAGAACGTGACGACGACTGATGTCTCTACCTATCTCATGGTGCGTGGCTTTCCCGGAGGACTAGATGGACGGAAACTGACGATCGGCAGAACCATACCATGATTCGAGTCAAGGATGCAGAGAAGTCCCTCAAGTTCTACCAGGAGGTCATGGGCATGACGCTCATGCGCGAGGGTGGCAACCCCGCTGGCGGCTTCACACTCTACTTCCTGGGTTATCCCGGAAAGCAGGGCTTCAAGGAGGGTGATGGCACAGCTGGCCGTGAAGGCCTGCTGGAGCTGACATGGAACCACGGAACCGAGAAGGACGAGGCTTTCGCTTACCATGATGGAAACAAGGGCCCACAAGGCTTTGGCCACATCTGTAAGCCTTTTGTGACCGCGGAGACGAGAATCGATACTAATAAAGCTTAGGTGTTGCCGTCGATGACTTGGATGCGGCGTGTGCTCGCTTTGAAAGCTTGAACGTCAACTGGAAGAAGAGGCTCACGGATGGCCGGATGAAGAATGTCGCCTTTGTTCTTGATCCCGATGGATACTGGGTTGAGATTGTCCAGAATGAGAAGCTTGCCGGCAAGGACAACTTCTAAATTGAGAAGCAAGGCTAGCCGAAAGACGGGATTGATATAACATGGACGACTAAATTGTACATGACCACGAACGGATATCAGAGCATTATGACTTGCCAGGAGGTGAAAAAGATACTGTTCCAGCTTCCAAGGCCATAGCCGAACATAGCGATGCAAAGCTCAGTGACATTGAGGCCTAGGCATTGCGCCAGGCTTCCATGTCAGCTCTAAGCCCGCCCCAGCTCTCCGGTCGGAAGCCCCCGTTGCCTTACTACAGTTCCCATTTCAGCACAAGGTTAAGCCTGGCTAGGTCTCAATTGATTTCGCGGGGGATGCAGTAGCGCTGCATTAGCATAACGTGGGGGAAGGGTGAAGGAGGGGTCAGAAGGTGTCTTCGTCCTCTGCGCCTCCAGTGTGCGACTTACACCATGTGAGCTGACGTTTTGCCATCGAGCCCGGGCCTGCCTATAGGTCCGCCACCGGCGCCTGCGGCGTCATTGCGAGAGTTTAGCCCGTCTTTAGGTGATCTTATTGTTCATCTGGCTCCCTCGCTCACCTTGCATGGTAGCGGTAGCATGTACCAGAGGGAGAGCGATCTCGCTCGCTGGTTTGCTTCGCTGGCGCTCCTTTGTTCGCTTCATCTGCACCTTCGACGCTGCCTGCCGTGGCCTGTTGCTTCGTGTATGGCCATCGGAGTCACAAAGCCCGGCAAGCGAGTGTCTGACCTGGCAATCTCGCGCCTCGACGTAGCTTCGCTCTTTTGCAGTGAACCTTTCATGCAGCAACGTCTTGAAGCAAGTGCTTACTTATACTTTGGATTGCTTCGTTTCCGGGGACATCTTTCTTTGACGAGTCCTCCATCAACTGCAAACAGATCTGGATCATCAAGTTGCTGAGTCTTTGTTTCATTATCCACGGCCATTTCTTCGTATTTGATAGTCCAGAGTACCGAATATGGCACCCGGAGCACTGACAGACGACTCTCCATCCACGCCGTCTTCGGACCGGCCCCGCATCCTCGTCCCGGAGAAGGTCTCAGCGGACGGGCTTGCACTCCTCCAAGATCTATACGATGTAGACAGCCGCACGGGGCTCACTCCCGATGAGCTCATTGCACTGATCCCCTCATATCATGGCCTAATCGTCCGTTCTGAGACAAAAGTAACAGCCCCAGTCCTCGCCGCTGGACGCAAATTGCGTGTAGTTGCTCGTGCTGGTGTGGGTGTCGACAACATCGATGTCGACGCGGCTACGGCTCAGGGTATAATCGTGAGTAGACATTGACTGCCTATAGCTATCTTCACATGCCTCTTTTCGAGCCCTTCCAATCTCTCATCTCCATAGCTATGGTACATATGCTGAGCCCCCAACGCCAAGGTTGTCAATTCCCCTGCTGGCAACATTGTCGCGGCCGCCGAGCACACGATAGCTCTACTCTTAGCTACAGCTCGTAACGTAGGACGAGCCGACGCCAGCCTCAAGGGCGGGCGATGGGAAAGGTCAAAGCTAGTCGGCGTGGAAGTCGGGCGGAAGATACTCGGCATCATCGGCCTAGGGAAGGTGGGTATGAAAGTTGCACGCATGGCCATTGGGCTGGGGATGAAGGTGGTTGCCCTCGACCCGTACGCCAGCGCGGATATTGCGCGTCAGGCCAATGTCCAGCTCGTAGGCAAACTCAGCGACCTACTACCCGTGGTGGACTTCCTGACCATACACACCCCGCTGCTGGCGAGCACGCTGAACTTGTTGGGGGAAGAGGAGTTCCAGACCATGAAGAAGACGGCAAGAGTCCTAAACGTGGCTCGGGGTGGCGTCTACAATGAAGATGCTCTAGTGAAAGCACTCGAAGAGGGCTGGATTGCTGGCGCCGGCATCGATGTATTCACTGCCGAGCCCCCTGCCCCTGAGTCGGCGGCAGCGCGGCTGGCAGCTCATCCCAAGGTCGTGGCCACGCCCCATCTTGGTGCTTCTACAGTGGAAGCACAGGAGAATGTGTCTTTGGATGTGTGTACGCAAGTCCTTGAGATTCTTCGCGGCGGCTTGCCGACGGCCGCTGTGAACGCCCCGCTCATTCTCCCGGAGGAGTATCGCAAGTTGCAGCCGTTCGTACGCCTAGTCGAGCGCATGGGTGGGCTTTATACACAGCATTTTGTGGGCGGCAAAGGAGGCATGATTGGCGGGCGCAAGTTCGAGCTCATCTATCACGGTGAGCTGGCGAGCGTCTCGAATACTCGGCCGCTCTTTGCGGCGTTAGTGAAGGGGCTCATGTCATCGATCAGTGACTCGGGAGGTCGAGACGTGAACATTGTCAACGCAACGCTCATTGCCAAGGACAAGGGCATCACGATCAACGAGACACACACCCGCGAGTCGAAAGACTCTGTGTATGCCTCGCTAGTCACGCTACGATCATCAGACGGCGGCGCGGGCGGCGAGCAAGTCATCGAGGGCTATGTCTCTGGGCAGAACATCTACATTGCGAAGCTGGACCGGTTCACGGCCAATTTCACGCCTGAGGGCACGCTGGTGGTTCTGCACAACTATGATGAGCCGGGCAAAATTGGGAATGTAGGGATGATTTTGGGCCGACATGGCATCAACGTGACGTTTATGCAAGTTGCTAGTCTTGACTTGCAGACGAAACTGGAGCTGGCGAAGAAGGCCAGAGATGCACCTGTCATAGAGACTAGCTCAGGTGAGGGCAATGGCAATGGGCGCGCAAGAAACGGGGAAAATGAGGCGTTGATGATTCTTGGTGTTGATGGTGAAGTGACGAAGGAGGTGTTGCAGGACCTAGGAAAATCTGAGGGCATATTGGATGTGAGTGTAGTTAAGTTGTGAAATAAACAATGGCGTTGACTCAATAGTAACCGTACCGAGGCGATCTGATGTCGTTCTATCCTCGGCGAGGAAGACATGAACCAGAGTTTGTACGATGTATATTGTTTCAGCCACTTGATTTATACACTTTCGGTGGCTTCTCAGACTCTCGATATCTCAACATGTGTAACGAATATAAAATACGATTCAAGATAAATATATTGACACGATTTTGGAGATGCCTTCTTGCCTGACATGCCTGTTCATCAAGGTTCCCGTGTGCCGAATGGACGGTCTCAAAGAGCCGATGCATCACGCCGCTTGCCGTTCACAATCAGAAGGAATTTCATGTGGTGGTTGCATTGTGGTAGGTGGTTAAGAGCACCATAACACCGCTCTAATTGGGCGAAATTACACGATGCAGGCGGCCAGACCATCCGTCTTCGCGTCATAGCCGACGATGACACTACTGAATGGCGCTAACGCAGTGAACTGTGGGCCTGAGCTAGCAGCCATGCCGCTTTGCTCCGCAGTGGAAATTCGCCGCACGCACAGAGCATCCACAGAGAGAGAGAGAGCTCTCAGCTTTCCATTTCTATCCCACCACCTCTCTTCACACGACACCAAACTCCAACAACGTCAGGCCTGACCCGTTCGTCGACTCGGGGAGGTCTTTACCGTTATTTTGTACTAGTATCACTTGTCAGTCTTCCGAACATTGCTAGTATGTCGCCTTCCTGAAGCTCCGAGGAGCCGGTATTCCATCCATAATTCGAATCAGCCGAGATGGCGAGACACAGAGCACGCGGAGGGCACCACACCACAGCTCCCAATGGAGCTCTCAGCATCGCCCGGCCCGCGATTTTGGGATTTTCTCGGCTAGTATTCATGGGCGTAGCCGCATCAGCTGCCCCAGTCAGCATCTTGGACAAATTACATGATGGCGACGAGGCTGGAGGTGCGAGTTTGTGGGTGCTGTATGTCGCGTCTGCGGTCTTGGTACTTCTTGGCGGAGCCTTTGCCGGTCTGACCATCGCGTAAGTCATGTTCATACATCTCTAGAATTTCTCAGGGCTAACGAATTGGCAGGCTCATGGGCCAGGATGGCATATATCTACAAGTTCTTGCGAAAGACCCGAGCGAACCACAGCAAAAGAATGCGAGGCGGGTATACGATCTTCTCAAGAAGGGAAAACACTGGGTGTTGGTCACACTGTTGCTTGGAAACGTTATAGTGAACGAAACTTTGCCGGTTGTGCTCGATCGATGTCTTGGAGGTGGCGTTGCCGCCGTCATAGGCTCTACCGTACTGATCGGTATGTGATCTGGTCATTGCTCTTTACAGCGACAATTTACTGACTCGCAATTTCTAGTCATTTTTGGTGAGGTGCTACCGCAATCTGTCTGCGTGCGGTATGGTCTTCCTATTGGCGGATACATGTCGAAGCCCGTTCTCCTACTTATGTACCTCATGGCTCCTGTAGCATGGCCGACTGCGAAGCTCCTCGATTGGGTTCTTGGTGAGGATCACGGAACAGTATATAAGAAGAGTGGTCTAAAAACGCTCGTCACATTACACAGAAGCTTAGGAGAGGTGTCGGAACGACTAAACCAGGACGAGGTCACGATCATCGGCGCTGTACTCGACCTGAAAGGAAAGCCAGTCCGAGCGGTCATGACACCCATGGACGACGTATTCGTCATGTCAGAAGATACAAAGCTTGACGAGAAGACCATGGATATGATTTTGTCTGCTGGCTACTCGAGAATTCCCATCCACGAGTCTGGTAATCCTACCAACTTCATTGGCATGCTTCTCGTCAAGATCCTCATCACCTATGATCCCGAGGATGGTAGATTGGTCAAAGACTTCGCATTAGCGACGCTGCCCGAGACACGACCAGAGACGAGCTGCTTGGACATTATCAACTTTTTCCAGGAGGGAAAGTCGCACATGGTTTTAGTGTCAGAGTATCCAGGAGAAGATCACGGGGCTATTGGAGTCGTGACACTGGAGGATGTCATTGAAGAGCTGATTGGAGAGTACGTGATTTGCTTTCTACCCTCGATGACTTGAGCTAATCTATTTTACAGGGAGATTATCGACGAGTCGGACGTTTATATCGATGTCCACAAAGCCATCCGACGCCTCACGCCCGCACCGAAAGCCCGTCTGCAAAGAAGATTGTCACAAGTGGAGGATGAGATCAGACGACATTCGAGGGACGACACTAAAATTACCGATGACGATTTGCTAGAAGGTCACGACTTAAGATACAAACGTATTGACTCCGTAGGAGGGAAGAGCGATACTCGAGAGTTGTCTAGTAGCCCCAGAACAACTGCCACACTATTGATGAGACGCAGCTCTGCTGGTGTGGATGGTCGATTAACTGACGGTGCTGTTCCCGTACGGGCAAACTTCGAGGAAATCAGGGAACATCTCAAGCATCTCGGCCCGTCCAATCCGGCGAGCAACCCCAAGGGAACGAAGTCCACGACAGTGAAGATCAAGCCAGGCATTATACTTCATCAACCCCGGGCTGCGTCTGTGGCAGGTGATGTCATCGAGGAGATACCGAACGATGATGGAGACGAGACAGCCGGCCTCCTTCGCCCTAAGCCAACAGGTAAGGACGGCATCCGAGCTCTTCATCAGAGCTACGGTGCAGTGAGCACAGGTGACATCGCGTCTAAACCCGCCGAGAATGGCCAGACCATCAGGATAGAGGTCGACGACGCGGATGCACGAGCGCTTGCGGATCAGGCTACTCAAACATCAGCGCACTCCAGCAAGGCAGATCTGGTCCACCTTGAGCCTCAGACCAGCAACGAGGATGACATTCCTTCACCCTCATCCGATATCAGCCCTTACGGGGTAAGATCATATGTCCGTAGCGGGAGCATCACAGAAAATGTCGTCGAGTCGCGAGGAATCCGCAAGGTGGTGCTGGAGACGACTAGCTCGAACGAGTCAGAGGAGGATGTGACGCTTGAGACTCGATCGCACTTGAGCGTGCCGTCTGCACTCCAGGCGTCGGAAGAGGACGAAGATGAACATGACGGTAATGGAGAAGGAGCGTCGGGTGCCACTGGCAGTGGTCAGTCACAGGGTGGGAAAAAGAAGAAGAACCGGAGGAAAAAGAGAAAAGGCAGCAAATCGTAGTACGAATCGCTGACGGACTGGTCTAATGATCTAGTGAATCCTGAAAGCATCTCCCTGTGAGGATTGGGGGCTTAACATGGTGTATAATACGTTATCATTGGGTTTTATACAGGAATCTAAGTTCAACTTGGCAATTTGCGCCCGTATTCTAGTGGCTGTCTCCGATACGAGTGCGGAAATCCCTAAACCAGGACTTTCAGCAGCCAAGCCAAGCTCAGTCGTACCATATCGCATTCATGCCGAACCCAGGCTCCTTGATCTTGCACCGCGCCACCCGCGCAAGGAACTCGTCCTTCCACCTATAGATCTCCACCCAGCCCTCCTGGTCGTCCGTGAGGGCCAGCCACTCGTCGCTCCAGTCGCACGGCGCGACGGCATTGCTGTGGCCGCCGCTGGTCGGCGTGGGGTTGAGGCAGATCTGGCGCTCGATGCTGCCGCAGTCCGCCAGCCGGAACGCCGCGATGTAGCCCGTCAGGTCGAAGCTGTTGGCGCGCGCCGTCGCGAACAGGTGGCGCCCGCTGTGCGTCAGGGCGCACACGTCCGAGCGGTAGAGGCCCTTGCCGGTGGCGGGGTCGCGGTCGGGGATGCCGGGCGGGATGAGCGGGTAGGCGTGGTGCGTGTAGACGGGCATGTGCGTCGCCGGGTCGATCACGTACTCGCACAGGCGGTTGCCGGCCTCCATCAGCGCGTACAGGTACTGGCCCGAGGGGTGCATGGCGACCCAGCGGGGGTGGTCGCCCGGGTCGGGGGCGTCGACGGAGCCGACGAGCTCGAGGTGGCCCGTTGTGCTGTCGGTCTTGCGGTGCACCCACAGCTTGTTGGCGGTCAGGTCGGCCGAGTAGAGGTACGTCTCGGTCGGGTCGAAGACCATGCCGTGGATGCCCGTGTTGGGCTGATACTCGTAGTTCTGCGTGTTGGAGGCGAGCGCGCCCGAATCGGACACGGAGAAGACGTTGCCGTAGCCGGCATGTTTGTAGAAGGGATTCGCATAGACGGCGTATGGAGGTTGCTTCGCTGCGAGGAGGAAGATGGCGCGAGTGTTGGTTGAGGCGTCATTCGCTTTGGCTGAAGGTCAAAGAAGTCAGTGGTTTGTCGCATCGCGAAGAGATTAAGACACTTCGGTGGAAAGAGGCAGAGAAACTTACGGTCACCTCCCATGGGATGTGATGCCTCATGGACGATCTCGGTTGGGCTCTTCACGGCGAAGCTGGACCATTTCTTCATGGCAGCGCCGTAGAGATTCTTCTTCGCATGCTACAGATATGGTGTTAGCCAATTGGTCGCAGTCTCCTCAGGGTCATGGAAAACGTACATCGAAGGTCATCCATGATATGGGCTCTTCCTGGGGAATCTCTGTCCTCTTGATGAGCTTCAATTCCAGTTTCTCGTCGTCGAATTGGACAGTGAAGATGGCGCCCGGCGGGGTCCAGGTCCCGATCATCAAGTGGTGGAGGGGCATTCTGGAGTGACGTCGGCGGCAGATGATGCTTCTGCCGGGATTGGCAAAGGAGCGAATGCTGTGGCCGGCTTCTTCACCTAACCAGTTGGGACGTCGAAGCAGAACTGAAGAAAGTCGAAATTGGACCATCAAACATGATTGCGATTGTTAATACTTGTAAGAACAAAACATTCCAACGAATAGTATAAGAATATCCGAGGCCGTAGTATCGCCCCAACCGGCACCTTTCCGTGGGAAGCTTTTCTTGACTCCATCCATCTGTGGCGGGGTCCCCTCTGGTCCTACACACGTTTGAGGCCTGGCACTACGGGACGATGTGGGGAAGCATCGCCGACCAGCGCAATTCGGAACGTGGCGGCGGTAATTGTTCCCAAGCTACTGGTGGTCCCGGCCAATTAGGTCAGCCCGTACAAGACTTACAACTAAGACGACGGGTCTTTGTGGACTAACTGCCGGCTAAAAGCTCATCCATCATTTGACAACGACTCTTGACTTCTGCAAGCGAGTCTGCAGACATCAGCGTCTTATTGTATGTATGTAAATACAATTACAATCGCTTTACTTTTGAGATTACATCGGAAGAGCATCACTCTGTACATTCGCTATTATAGAGCAGTTGGACCTTCAAAGTACGCTTTTGACGTTATACGTCGGGTTCGGCATTTTCTCGTAGGCCTCAAAAGATGGCCAGGACTGCATCGAGTCTATCGCAGGGGAATGTTAGATCACGAGTGGCAAACCGAGATAAGCAGTGATGAATGCCAATTTCCTTTCTGGTCCTCGTGTCTGGTGGCGGTGGTGTAATCTCAAAGAGCCACATTGCCTCTAGTCGCGCCTTTTGAATATACTCGGAGTCGCAGATAGTTTCAAGACAGCTGCCATGACTACAGGCAAAACAAACACCCATCTCTGTCATGTATAACTTGCGTTGCGCAAACATATCTTCTTGAAAGGTCCAGTCTCTTGTCGCCCATTTGCTCTTCCCAATCCTTTGTGAAAGATCTTTCCCACCACTTGGACTAGTGTGAATAGTTGCTGTCCAATGTCTATGATCTGTCGAGGACGTCGATGCCTCGAAAGTTGTTCTTTTTTTACCGCAGTATCTTTCTGATCAATGCAATATTTGTCCACCCAGATATACCTCAGGAGTAATTCCCTAGTCATGATTATAGCATCCTCGATGACGGGCGGAAAGCCTGTAGTTGGAACGTTCGCAGTGGATCCCCAGTAAATTTGACTGCATTAGTGCTTTTTGTAGCTGTGAGTATCCTCCAATCAGGCTGATACAACCTAAGTCATAAGTACTACGGTCTATTTCAGAGTATACGCTGCTCGTAGTTGTAACTGAGCAGCCCAAGGCTACGTCTAACTTCATGTACTGGCAAACATACACTTAGCGACCACGGTCTAGCCCATTCTCTTACTAGCGAGGTAGTTGTTATCGTAATGACGTTTTACGTGACTTCATCTCGTCCGCCTTGGATATAAAGACGAAAGTTGAAGGAGAGGATGGAGTCGTGAACAGGTTCCGAAAATAGGTTAGAGAAGGTATAGTGACCCCCGGAATTATTAGAGCGAATGCTTGCAAAAACTGAAGGATACTTCAAACGCCATTCGACGTATACTCCAAGAATTTTATAAAATACGGGGACTTCTAGACTAGGCAAAGTAAACAACGGAATGTTGAGCATCGTTCACCCAGCACCAAGTTACCCACGCGCCTACCGGACTTACTCGGGCTTTCGACCGTACACCATGTGTCTTCCAATAATGTTAGACCGGCATTGGCAAGTTAACAAGAAAGGGTAGGATAGAGGGTAACTCACATGACATAATATGGTAGAGTTTTTGGATTCTTGAATTCGGCGCGCATCTTGGCCACCAGGACCATCACTTCATCCATCGTCCAGCCTAAAATCTGCCCAATGGGGTAGACAGCAAAGCCATCCAACGACTGGTCGATGAACAACCCGTTGTACTGCCCGACCCGTTTTAGCAGAGGATCCTGTGGCCAGCCTCCGATCGGCACTTTCCACTCTTTGTGGACGACGTCCACGAATCCGGTCTCATGCATCAGCTTCTCCATCTGCCCATCGCGCGCGATCTTGAAAGTCCGGCCGATCTTGTCGCCGGCGTCCCAGAACAACTGACACCACTGCTTGAACACATGCGACTCGTCATTGGCGATCTTGGGATTTTCAGACCTCGTCTCGAGGTCGATCTCGACATTCTCGAACCAACCTCCGGGCTTCAGGTGGTCAAACGCCTGTTGATAGAGCTTTCCCCAGTCGTCGATGCCGCCGTAAAGCTGACGGATGTGCACGAAGTCGAAGGTCTCGCGCTGAAAGGTCCAGTTAAGTTGCGCATCGTCGATTTGAAACGCACAGTTAGGAGGAACCCATGAAGGTTGGACGGCAGAGATGTCGGTGCCTATTACTTCGGCTGAGGGGAACTCATCGGCGATATCACTGAAATATAAGATGGTCAAACTTTGTGGTCCGTGTAAGGTGTTATTTCAAAAAGTCAGCTCACATAGCCCAGATTCCCGTTCCGGTGCCAACATCTAATATTTTCTGCGTAAAGAGATGAGCCATGCCCAGGCCAAATTGGCCGGTTGGGGTGTAAGTGTGGGCATACTTGTGGGTTGTCACCAATAGGGGCCAAAAACAGCTTGTTGTCCATGAGCATAAGTTGAAATTGGTGTCTACCCTTTAATCAGTATAATACAGTGGCATCTTGTCATGGAGACAAGGTTCATACGCGACATCATGGCCCTCGAGGTGTTTGTCATCTGTCGGCGCCCTAGATCCAAATCAGTAGGGAAGGTAGTGCATTTGCTTGCGCAAGGACAAGTTGCTAACCAGTATTCTGTGGTCTTAGACGATTGGTATGCTCGGCCATGAATGGTGCGGTATTCGAAAATGCTCGATCCTATTGATGCGGTTGAGTCGCGCAGGCTGTACGGTAACCGTGTCAATTGATGCTCTGGCTCGCACAATCTTTCTCGTGCCGAGCAGACGAAAGCATGGGATGCGTCTTACCTGCCCGCGTCAGCTGCCGAATCGTTGTCATCGTTCAGGTCGCCGACGACATTCGGATCCTACGGTACAGGGACAGAGGTTATTTATGAGTTACAACGCACGGTCTTGATGCGCAAGATGCTAGACGAGATGACGTCTTGTATGCACCGGATCCCGGCAGGTAGATCAACAACTTACGAATTGAATGACGGCGGGTGCGCCTGCGCCGCCTTCGCCAGCTTCCGGAGATCTCGGGGAATGCGAAGCGGATCTTGGAGATGACATGTCGCTACCTGAGATTGAGCAACGCTGTGAGCTACCGATCCGGGACAAATTGCTGGGTCGAACAGAACAGGTGAGAGCTTTTGCAAATGAGAAGCTAGAAAAGAAAGCGTGTGGGTGCTGCTATGTCAGACAACGTAAGAGTGGAAGCGAATACAAGAGTACTGGCGATACCGCTGCTCCCCCATTCGTCGACTTTCTATTTTGGACAACCTAGTACATAATACGTTCTAAGTGCGTGATTCTATCGCCTCTCATTGACCAATTGCTATTTGCTCCGTATCAGCGCCTCCCCCAAAGTCCCGGGCATTTCCTTTGACTGCGAATGCCACGCGGTGTAGAAACTCAAAGCGGTAAGGGCTGTGCTCTGTGCTGCGCAAGCGCCATTGGCGTCCCACGGGCCGCAGCGGGAAAGCTTCCTAGTGCATCAATTGAAGCAACTTTGTACTTGCTCTAGGCCTTCGTTCAGGTGGGGTGCGTGGGGTTACGAAAATTCAAACTGATGTTCAGTTGGGCTTCTGCTTGCCTTGTAAACGTCTTTCAGCAGCGAGCTGACCTATCAAGGCCACATAGCTGACATGTTCTCATGTTTCTTCATGGGCTGTAAACATCGGAACGATCAGATGCCTCTCGTCATGTATGGATACAACAAAAATGTGACGTGAGAGAACAACAAGGCAATTTGGTACTGTTGCAACTGCCATGGTACGATGGGGATTCTCTGCAACAATTTTCCTAGCCCAACTCCGTCCTGGGATTATTGGGCACCATGAGTGAAACAGCTGCTACGAAGTCTGAAAGTCGTACCTGGTACAATATTCAGGTGGGAATGTTTTTCATTATAACGCGGTAATGCCACTTTGGCGATTGACATGAAGAGTGTTTCTTAATTCAGTAGTTATGTAGCATGGGCAAACTGAAGTAGAAATATCCGAAACTGCTGAGGCAAGTATTTTGGACAGCTACTGCTGCTCCAGAAAGACATCAAGTTTCTTATGCCTTCAGGCCGATACTTCAGCAGAAATTGCTTCCTTACGATCCGGGTCAGCTTTATGAAGAATAGATAGATCCTGGTGAGTGTTTTTGAATTCTTCATCGGCCCATAATAAGTCGATCTCCTCAAGCGTGAGATCTTTGGCTATTAGTGGAGGAGATGTTAGTGACAGTCCCAGGCCTCATACCTAATATTAAAATGAGCAACTTACTTTCCGCAACAAAAATCCAAGACAAAATCGTAATGATGCCTCCACCTAGGCAGAACCAAATATAGATAAGGGCACCGACGTTGGGATCGCTCGCAGCCTGGCCACCAAAATAAACTGCTAGGAAGGCAATAAACCAGAAGACGAGATTAGATGCAGACTGAACTTGACTTCGGTATTGCAGCGGCAGAATTTCTACGGCATAGAGGAATGCTTCAATGATAATATTAGCTTTGGGAATTCCGGAAATTATTCAGGTTGGACTCACCCAGCCAGATCCAACTCAGACCATTTACCAGATTGAAGAGAATGAGAATGACGACAGATCCCCACTGAACGCCCTTGGAGGGATTTTTGACATTGGCGAGACCAGTGTAAATACACATAAGGGTTGTCAGGGCCTAGGAACCCAGGGTCAGTAGTTTGCTCTCCAACCTGCTATCTCTCTTGGCTTACCGTGCCACCCCAGCATAGCACTGGCCGTCTTCCGACTCGTGGAAGGATAACGAAGCTAAGCGCCATTCCAATCGGGATGCCTGTGTTGATAGCTGCCAGTGCTAAGGTCACGTCATCTCCTTCGAGTCCAACGCCCTGAAGGAGTGCTTGGCCATAGAAAGTGATGAGTTGCGTTCCGAAGAAAGGCCCAGCCACATTGATGAGAATTCCGATCCTAAATTCCAGGTTAGTGTGAAGACGTGTGGGATATAAATTCAGAAATAGCTATACCAGATACGTCGCACGTTCTTTGTCGGGCTGCCGTCGCCGGTGAAAAGCACCTTCAAAGTTAGAGGTTTTGTCCGCTCTCGCTCTAGTCTAATAGATGTCATAATATCCTCCTTGACCCGAATGAAGCGTTCATCATTCTCGTCAGTATCGATCAGCCGCTTGATAGCATCTTCGCCTTCCGCTTCTCGGCCAGTTGCCAAAAGCCATCTGTGAATCAGATCAGCAACCCTCAACGTTGAGGGGCCTCGATAAATCGATACTGACCTAGGGGAGTCTGGACAGCCGTGTACGAGAATGAGGGCAATGATCAGAAAGAAAGCTTGCATTGCAAGTGCAACTCGCCATGCGCCATGGGCTGGTGCTTTCAACATGGCGTAGTCGAACCAAGTCGCAACCGAGATACCGCCAATGCCCCATAGCACCATAATCATTGTGTCGACTGTTCGCTTTTTATGGATCACATTGGCTTCTTGCAGGTAGATCGGCGTTGTGGCAGCCAAGGCTATATTGCATTAGCAATTGCCACAGCTTTGGTGAACGGGGTTACACGTACGTCCGTTAGCAATACCTAAAACGACACGTCCAACCAAGATTTCAATCGGACCCTGGGTAGCTGTCTGGAGGATGACACCAATAATCGCGACATAGCAGCATAAAATAACGGTCCGACGACGTCCAAGACGCCAACTCAGGGGTGCAATAACGGCCAAGCCAACAACGTCACCAAGAAGAATACCCGCAGCGATAAAGGTAATGTATCTCGAGTCTGTTGGATTGCCGATTGCGTCTAAGAAATATGGATTGGCCAGGACACCGCCGATGACACCTTTGCGATGAAGACCTCATTAGCCAGGCAACACGAGAGGAGCATCCAAAGTTTCTCACCAGCGTCCCAACCATAGAGCATGAATGCAAACGAGTTGGCGTAGTTCAGAATTTGAATGAGTTTCTGACCCCTGAAAGGCCATTGATAGCTAAGCATTTCGACGTGTTGTGTGCTTTCGCACAATTATCAAGGAGTCTTAACTGTCAGGGAGCAGTCTGTAGGTTTGGAAAGGGGTCTACGGCTTGAATAGCAAGACTCTCCCGAGAATCGGGGAATAAGGGACGCATGGAAGTTCCTATATGCACGTAGACGACAGGGTCTAAAGCTTATTCCCAATCGAACCGGCCGCGAACAGGCATGCCAAACCCCAAAAAACATCCATGCTTGAAGTAACCAACTGGAACTGTTATCTTCCAAGCCGAAGATAAGGCCATTGGAGATAGAGGTTTCACCAGCGCTAAACAAGGCGGTCGGGCCTTAATAGCTAGATTTAATACGATGCTCTAAGAAAAAACAAGGTGGTCTCGAAAATGAGAGTAGATCGACACGGACCGTTGCTAGGAACGTAGCCGACTCCTCACTGCTACTGTTGTCGTCTCCTTGAAAGGTGATAGAGACTGGCTCTAGCGCGAATAAGACGGATGTTAGCGGCCCCTTATCAACAGCTCTGACAGCTGCCCCATCAAAAGCTGGGGGCTCCGCGCCTTTAGTCGCAACGAAGGAGTCTTAGTGACTCCACTACAGCTCCCAGTCCATCGGAGCTATAGCGATTGGAAACTGATAAGCGGTTGAACGAGCGACCTCGCTTGCTTTCAGCCGAGCTCTTGAGTCTTTCGCGTAGAAGTCTACTCGCAATCTTGAATGCCAAGTTCCGTGTGCCGAGATAAGGAGCATGGATTAGAAATCCCCAACCAAAAGTGAAGTCGAGAAAATAGAGCTTTATTATCGCGAAACACACCTCTATTTCTCATAGACCTTACATTGGAGGAAGACTACACCTTGGCCGGAATTTTTGGTCTATGTTTCCCCACACCCCTCTTGTAATCTACATGTTTCTTAATTTTTCATGACTTCCAGATGCTTTCTCCATCCGGTGGTCCAATAATTCCAGCATTAAGCGTCACACCATGAAGACTGTAGTATGCAACGAGTTGAATGACGTGAAGTGTCTGGTCTCGTCCCAAGGTAGCATTCGCCTTTTCCCATAATTCTTGTTCCAGAGGTTTTCCTCCTTTAACCAACCGCATCGCCAAGTCGAATGTCACACTTTCTTTCTCACTTAACCCTAGAGGCTTTTCTCCCTCGGTAATTTTCTTCATTTGTTCCTCGGTCAAAAGCCCCTTGCTCGCAGTGATTCTAGAGTGCGAGTATGTGAGAAAGCCGCCTCCAAAGGAACCCGTGTAATGTCCCTGAACAGCCAAAATAGCAACCTCTGTTACAGCTGGCTCCAGAGCCGGGAGGTTAAGGACCTCCTTATTGAGGCGCATCGTGTGCGTTGAATATTCAGGAGTATACATCATAATGGACAATGGGCCTAAAAGCTCGCCGTCTTTTCCTATTAAGGTGAACCTACAAATTGAGCTCTTAGCATGTATTGCGAAATGGCTGGGTAGAAGGAGAAGCTGACGTTGAGCCCATCCCGTTGTTAATCTTGTCCATCATTTCATCATGAAAAACTTGCTGAGCTGGGGTCAGCTTCTCTGGCGGAATGGCGGGATATCGTGGCCCTGACATCTTCAATGCTGGTGTTATACAAGAAAGAATATCACGAGAGTCGAGGCTCAGTAACAATACCAAGCTGCTCCGAATCCTCCAGCAGCTTGGGAAAGTTCAATGTTATCGTATTGGTTGTCGGCTAGGAGGGGTATCGGGAGTCTACATCCGCACTAAACCGCTTTGATTCAGGATAGTCTCCTAGATCGGTTTGATCAACACCTTCATTCCCCTAGGCATTCCTCCTTATCTATCTCGCTTCAATCAGAGTCCTGGCGGGGTCGCACACTTATTCAGAGTATTATTACGGTCCGGGACACTCAAGCGAGGATGTCTACGGCCCGGGACCTTATGCTATAGCTTATGCACAGGACTAGCCATCTAGAGTCCCATGACATCCAGTGTCTTGACAAATGTAAGTTACTTATCAATCCCGACTGATTGGGTCCTCCACAAAACGGTCATATCTAAACGGCGGGGCTATCGGAGCACAGGGGTTGCCTATGGCCCGCTACAAGAACCAAATACCCTCCAAGCTGAATGGTTTGGCGCTGCTAGGTCGATGAATCTGTAGATGCCGTCAGTCTGTCGCTGTCATCATGACGCTCATGACTGTCCCACTATCAGCAGCGGTGCCGCTCATTGCCCTCGCCTTCTGGCTTGTCTATACATACACCAAGCCAAAGCATCGCTATCCTCCTGGGCCTAAGGGCCTACCAATCGTTGGAAGCTTGCTTGACATCAACAATGAGAGACCTTGGATTACCTACGGCCAATGGACAAAGCAGTATGGTAAGTCTCGCCTTCGAGTAGCACCGGATGCAACTCGAGTCCTGACACTGTCACTTGTGTATAGGCGACATCGTCATGTTTTGGGTCATGGGCAAACCCACAATTCTCCTTGGGAAAATGGAGCACGCAGAGGCACTCCTACAAAAGCGAATGATGAACTACGGTGATCGTCCAGAATTGGTTGTTGCACAGGAACTTGTCACTCAAAACGGATATTACATCGGGACCGCTCGAACAAAGCATGACACACACAAGAAGCAGCGAAAAATACTAGCCGAACGCCTTCGAGCAAAAGCCCTGAAGGATTGGGCCCACCCAGCTGAACTGCCCGAAGTCCATCTCTTCCTCCAACGCCTCACCCAACATCCTGATCGATTCATCAGCAATATCAAATGTTTTATGGTCAATGTGATGTTGAATACAACGTTTGCCCATGGATCTATGCCGAGTCTTGACAACCCACTTATTGCCAGGATCAATGAGGCTACTGACCATCAATTCATTGCTCAGATCCAGGGCCGATTCTGGGTCGACTTTCTACCGTTTCTCAAATACCTCCCGTCATGGCTGCCGGGTATGGGCTGGAAGAAGTTGGGATTGGAATGGCGCGAAGAAGTGGACTCATTATACCGCGAGTTGTGGGACAAGACTCAGAAGCAATTGGAGGAGAAAACCGACGGTCATCCCAGTCTTGTCCAGACGTTGATCGAAACCCAAATGGATCAAATAAGTCTGCTTGAAGGAACAACAATCGCGGCGGCTATGGTCGATGGCGGAACCGAAACACTCACAGCCACGACTGTCGTCTTGTAAGAATTCTTATGTTCTGAAGCATGGTTTGCAAAGCTAACGCTGTCTAGCATGATCATCTTCATGTACTTTCCTCACATTTTAAAGAAAGCTCAAGCGGCAGTTGATGAAGCAGTCGGGAGAGATCGTCTACCCAATTTTGATGACGTTGCCAGAATCCCCTTCATCACAGCTATGATACGGGAAGCGTTTCGATGGCGCACAGTGGCGCCGGTAGCCATTCCACACGCCGTGGTCCGCGACGACATATACAATGGTTACTTCATTCCGAAGGGTGCTACTGTCTTCGCACTGTCACAAAATATCCACGAGGATGAAGAATTGTACCCAGACCACACAGAGTTTAAACCAGAGAGATTTTTAGATGAGAATGGACGACTGAATAATTTGCCGCACGCTGGGTTTGGGTTGTGAGCCATCCTTCTCTCCAACACACCCCGTAGATGATCACTAATGTAATCACAGCGGAAGTCGTAAGTGTCTCGGCCAGCACTTCGCTGAACAGACATTGTTTCTTTGTAAGTTTGTCATCTTTTTAGAATTTAATATCACACCATGACGGCTAATTTGACGGGGACCTAGTAATTTCAAGTTTCGCGTGGGGGTTTGACATAACTGCGCCTGTCGATGAGAAGGGCCAGAAGATATTACCAAGTCTTGACCCCAAGGACTGGGGAGCTTTTCTTGCCTCGTAAGTCTCTCCGATTTTGAGACCTCTAGCATACTGCCGATGATGCTAATAAATAAAAAGCCCGCCTCCCATGAACTTCGATGCCGTTATCACTCCTCGCTTTGAAGATGTAGGAAATGTGATTGATCGAGCCGTTGAAGAAGACAGGTGATACGGAGAATCGAGTGGTGTGCCGTTTGTAAGGGATCGATACCATGTGTGTGGGGAGCCAACCACGTGTTTGGACTCCCTAGGAGCTGCCACAAACATTGTAGACCTGACATGCCAACGCACTTCAGCCGCAATCAGCTCAACGTATTGTATCTATGAAACCCCGTCATTGTCGTCATTGTTCAAGTTCTCGTGGTTGCCGTATCCAATTGCTGCTCGCCACCAAGGTCCAAGACCTCTCTTTTGCATTTCTGCAGCAAACTCCGAAACTGACGTGACCTCTTTGAATCCAGAGGGCAAAGCAGAGTCAGTGATTTTGGTAGCAGATGGCTTGGCTACACACTGATAGTCTTTGTATCTCAATGCCTGTACGGCCGAGACCCATCCCGTGACGCCGGCTTCGCTGTTGCTCTCGACATACATGATGCCCGGACAACCTCCGCTCCGAATCAAGACAAACTCGACTTCATTTTGAGATGCAGCCTTTTTGAGGCGGTGAATTTTCTTCCGAGACGTGATGTGATGAGTGCGAATCAGAGCGTTGAAGATATGATGTGGTCGGCTCATAATATGGCAATTTGCTGGTGAGTTGATTCGATTAGTTGAGCAGATGTTGACAACACGCTGGAACAAAATTTGGTAGCAGGTAATTTTTAGCGCGTCATCACGTGGATTCGGGCAGGTATGTACTGTATCTGCGGAACTTGGGATCTGATCATTGCAAAACAAAACATTTCTGATTTTCCTTAGTTGAACACGGTACATGACTCTCTTTACCTTCTTGAATGATTATAATGTCTTTACGCATGCCAATGGCTCACAAAGTTGTGTCGCGAAAGGAGTTACACTTTGAGTAAGCCATAGGTAATCAGTTTGAGATGGCACGGAGGCACAAAGTATTTCAAAAACAACAAGGAAGAATGACCAGGCTTTGTCTCTTTTGTTCGTTACTGTGGTCCTAGCTCGGTTCAAGCACGAAGCACGAAGCACGAAGCACGGAAACGAGTTCAATCTCAATCATGATTTGAAGGTACCCAAAATGTTTGAAAAGTCCTATCTTAATGTTCGCGATAATACTTATATTTGGACAACGCTAGTCTGAGAGCGTCCTTGCTTAATTGTCGCCGGCCCACCGTATTACAGAGAGGTTTGGACATTATGAGGGCTTACTGCTTGACATAACGATTTGTGGGTCGAGGAATACCTAAGTTCTCCCGGAGAGTTGTCCCCTCGTACTCCGATCGAAACAAGCCACGGCGTACAAGTTCCGGAACGATATGTGTACTAAAGTCACGCAAGCCATCTATCAACAGTGGCTGAATCACTGCGAACCCGTCTGTAGCTTCTGCCTCCAGCCAGGCCTGCAGGTCGTCCGTGATGGACTGTGTTGTGCCAACAAGAGGACGGTGGCCCAGTCCTATCGAACAGCGTTCCGCGGTTTGTCGAATAGTCAAGTTATTTGCATGAGCAAACGAGGCTATAGCAGCCGCACGTCCTTTCGATGACATTCCGGTCTTAGACTTGAAGCCAACTTCGTATTCATCAGGGAATGGCGAATCTAGATCGGCTCCACCAAAGTCAATACCAAGGTTTTGGACAGCAACATCAATAGGCCAAAGCGACGAGACCTCCCTTAATTTCCGTTCAGCTTCTTCGTGTGTCTCTCCCCAGACAACAGCTACGCCAGTAAGAATCACCAGATGATCTGGATTCCTCCCTGCTTCGGCGGCAGCAGCCTTAAGAGCGCGAAAGGTCTTTTGTCCATCTGCAATGGAGTAGTTCGCACAATAGATCAAGTCGGCAGTCGAGCCGCCGAACGCAATACCCTCGGGCGAAGTTCCAGCTTGTGCAATTACCGGATAACCCTGTATAGGACGCTCAACCCGGAGTGGCTGATCCACATGATAGAGTCCACCATCAATCTCCGGCGAGTGAACCTTGTCCAAATCCACAAATATGCCGCTCTGCTTGTCTCTCAACAATGCATCGTCTTCGAAACTATCCCAAAGCGTTTCTACTGCGCTCAAGAATGCTCTTGCTCTTCCGTACTTAGCCGCACTATTCTTGGTCTCCTCAAGTGGTACACCAAGGTTACGTGAGCCTGGTCCTAGGGTGGTGACAACGTTCCATCCCGCTCTGCCATGACTAATGTGGTCGAGACTGGCAAGCTGGCGCGCGACGTGAGTCGGCTCGTTATCACTGACGCTCGCTGTGTACACCAGACCAATGTGATTTGTTCGCGCCGCAATGGCAGAGAACAGTGTCGCGGGTTCAAAGGCACTCACGCTCCAGTAGTGCTTTGCAAGTGGGCCGCCAGGAAACGAGGCTCCATCGGCTAGAAATAATGTGTCGAACTTGGCTTTTTCGGCTAGTTGTGCATACTCAATATAGTAGTCAACGTCAAGACTCTCATGCGCACGTCCTATGACTGGATGCCTCCATATCTGCGAGACCTGGCCAGAGTAAATGAAGGCAGCCAGATGAAGTTGTTTGGACTTGGTGTTTGCCATATTGTGTGAGAAAATGTTTCGCAATCACTGACATGCAAAATGCCCGTAACATATTCAGAATTTTAGCCTGTTATATGCAAGATCGTCATTGGTATTAAGTAGTCAGGCATTTGCATACAGTGCATACGCCGTGCCACGGTTCCGGCACCAAGCAGTGAAGGGAGTCGTGTCTAAATATGTCGACATTTCTCCACATTAAGATGCTAGCCCGATTTGCGGCGAGAAATAACGTGGTAGATTGACACGCTGAATGATTATACTCTTCTTGACAAGTACTTGGTTGCGCGCGAGCAACATTACAGTTAACATATATCTCTACCCGTTCATGGAGTAAATCAATTTACAAGACGTCCTCGAATGCTTAATGGCCTGCGTGACCATGAAGAGAGATGGCAAACGCTTCATACTTGCTGGAAACGCCGGGTGTATGAAGTGTAAAGTAGCTGGAGTTATCTTGATCGCCAAGCTTTGACCAGAAGTAGAAACGCCGAGAGCCGTTTTTCTAGCTATCAATGCATTCCCAATGCTCGTACGGACCGAGACGCGCAAGTCTGGATTACCACATACAGCATACATATGTCCTTAGTTCTGTGGGAAAGAACTACGGTGGTACTGGATGGATGAATTGTGAGAGATATCGTACCAGAGGTTCGAGTTCCAACCAACCAACTTGGTTGAGTTCAACACAAGTTGACCAGCTGTCCTTCTAAGATTCCGTCAACGGTGGAAGATTCGATTACATGATAATTTGATGATATAAATAAAATCGATGAGCATTGCTTATAGTCTTTAAAAAAGGTTTAGCTACCAACCTTGGTTCAGGAGACCAGTGTTTTGTATAGTAAGCCAAAGCTGAAAGCATAATTCATAACGAATTCGGGCTGCATTTTGACGTTTTGCCAGTAGCGCCATTTCTTTGATCTCTGCCTACAATGGTATAACCTTCAACAAACATGATCTGTTTTGCGACATCGGCTGTGTTGTAAGTACTTTGCCTGCCTGTAGGGCAAGCTGTAGGTCTGGCAGCTCTAAGTCCGAGACTTTGCAGCGCCTTCTTTGTTAAAGCCGATACCAAGACAGGAAAGGCCCTCTTTCATCATCATGCAATTCTTGAACTTGAGCGCGAACTTATTGATTTCGTGGTTCGTTTCGCGCGATTTGTGGAGTGTTTAGGAAGAGAACCGTGGGGCTTATCGCTTGCGTCTTTGGTTCGATGTCTGGTGTCATCGCTAGTCCCTTGAAGCTCTTTATCCGCTACAATCAAATCAAACATATGTATAAAAACGCTTCTATGCGAAGATACACAAACAAAAAGCTAGAGAGCACAAGATATTGAGACTGATGTGAATCAAAACCGTATATATATTGTTTACTTATTCGTCAGGATTCCTACCGGTCGACAACAAGGGTGTTTCTATCTTATCATAAAGATGGCTGTGGGGACGCAAGAGATTCCAAAGGTGAGCCAGGAAAAATTAGCTGCAATTCGCAAGAAATACGACGAAGAAGCGAGCAAGCGTCTTAGACCGGAAGGTCCTGCACAATTTGTGCAACTGACAGAGTCAGACGAGGAGCGGCTTCGTGTCCTCGCTGAAGACCCATGGGTGGACCACGAGGCTCTGAATGCCAAAGAATCACCCATCACGAATAATGCAACCTATAAATACTTTGCCCTTGGTGCAGGCTTTGGCGGTCTTCAATTCGCGGTCCACCTTATCCAGCGAGGAATAGCCACTCCCGATGACATTCGTCTCGCTGACGCAGGCGGCGGATTTGGGGGTACATGGTATTGGAATAGGTTTCCTGGCCTTCATTGCGACGTGGAGAGCTATATTTATTTGCCTCTTCTTGAAGAGACAGGCTATGTACCTACAAAGAAATATGCTCCTGGAGATGAAATTCGGTTGCACGCGGAACGAATCGCAGCACAATGGGGATTAGTTGACAAGACGCTTTTTCGCGCTGACGTTAAGACCGTCAAGTGGGACGATGACGCAAAGCTTTGGACAGTCAAGGTTGTTCAGCAACGCGGGCCGTCAACCGATCCAGTCCATCTTGAGTTTCGTGTCGAATACGTTTACCTTGCTGCTGGAGTTCTCACACGGCCACAAATCCCTAAAATTCCCGGTTTACTGTCATTTTCTGGATCTATATTCCACACTGCTCGTTGGAACTATAAAGTATCTGGTGGTTCACCAACAAACCAGAACCTTGATAAATTAAAGGGCAAAAGGGTTGCTGTCGTCGGTACTGCGGCTACCGCGATTGGTGTGATTCCTGAAGTTGCCAAGTATGCTGGAGAGCTTTATGTGATCCAAAGGACGCCAGCTTATGTCAAACAACGCGGTCAGTATCTCACTGATATTGACGAGTTTAAAACCAAAGTTGCGAACAAACCTGGATGGCAATACGAGAGACAGCTCAGTGCCAATAGATTCCTTACCAATTCTGCCAAACCTGGAGAAGAGAATTTGGTAAACGATGGATGGACGAACATGCCAGCATATTCAGCTATCCTCGGATCACCCAGTCATGGTGTAGTCGATCCATCTCCGGAAAACCTTGCGAAGCACGCCGCAAACTTCCATGCTCTAGATTTACCCAATATGGAAGGCCCTCGAGCCAGGGTCGACGAGCTTGTGAACAACAAAGAGACGGCCGCGAAGCTAAAGCCCTGGTATCCTTCATGGTGTAAACGACCGACATTTAGCGACACATACTTGCAAGTCTTCAACCAGCCCAATGTCCACCTTGTTGACACAGATGGAATGGGACCTTCTGGGGCAACCGAAAGAGGTCTAGTTGTTGGCGACACAGAGTACCCACTCGATATTATTATCTTTGGTACTGGATATAAGACGCCTGGCCGTAGTCAAGGGAGCCCTGCAGCTCGGACAGGGGTTGAGATATTCGGTCGTGGAGGTCAGTCAATCGACGCGAAGTGGCAGGAGAATGGAGCAGCTACACTGCATGGCTATGCAACGCACGGATTCCCAAATCTCTTTTTCTCAGGATCCGGCCAGGCGACTATAACAGGAAATAATACATGGATGTTGAATCTCATCGCAGACCACGTCACCTTTATGATTGCTGAAGCAAAGCAACGAGTTGGTCCTGATCAGCGCGCCATCATAGAAGTCGCTCAAGAAGCGGAAGAAGCTCATACTGCTGAGATTGTGAAACGGGCTCCCTTTTACTCAGCTCTGGCGGGATGCACTCCGGGGTATTTCAATGGTCATGGCGAAGCCGCAAATAATAATGACCCCAAAGAGAAACAAAAGAGAGCAAAGAGTGCGTCATGGTCAGAGGGAACTATTTCATTCCTCAAATATATTCAAGAATGGCGAGATGCAGGCTCGCTGAAGGGTTTGCTAATCACTGGAGTCGAGGCTTCATAGATGAACCCTCGTATATGTATCCGTCGCTTGTTAAGTTCGAAGATATCATGAACTAGATGCTATATGTATTACGATGATACCGTTATAATAGAATGGTTATTACATGTTTGTTGAATTTCTTGTCTATTTATTTATTCGATCTGGCCGCTTACGGCGGCTCATGATGAAGTTCTAGAACCCATGTAGGGTCGAGAGGGAAGGTCCATCATTGGACTCGCCCCCCGTCTAACATTAAAAGGACCGCTATCTGTAACTTCGAGTCCCCGCTTGATCACCGCCAACTCTGATCTCTTTACAAATATGATCTCGCCATTCTTTCCAATGTCTAGATGCAAGTTATTGGCCAGACTGATCCAGTCGTACGGCACAAAAAAGTGGCGCACAATCTGATTTGCAGGATCAGAGGATCCTGGCTGTTCAGCCGCCTGTGCTGATAGGCGACGAGGGCTCAAATCTACGGAGCAAACCCAGTAGTCGGTATTGAGAAAGACGAGGCGGTTGCGAGAAACTCCAATGATCTCTTGGACGCTTGGTGCCAGCCAATCAAGGTCCATCGCTGGCTGGGTGGACTTAGTGCTCAACTCAAAATCCTTGAAGTCCCAAATTTGAATACATGGTCGAGTAGTTCGCGCTGCCTCGGATGGTCCTTTAGACAAAGAAGCAAAGAAGCGAGAGTTGTTTAAAGGGATAGCAATGGTGCATAGCATGCTCTCAGGAAGTATGAGGTCGTAGCTCGCAAGATATTCGAGGGTAGTCCAGTTGTATGTAGTAGCTTTATTCTCAGAGAGGTGAATCAAGAGATTTGGATTTGTTGGGTGCATGACCCATCGGGGTTTATCACTCCCGGTGATGGTCTTAATGCACTCCGTCTTATCGTCACCCGAACGAAGCTTCCATAGCGTATCATGGTCCTTCGTAGATACCATGAGGCGCGAATGCCGGCCAGATCCAATGAGCTGGTATACAGGCGACAAGGGCCGTGTTTCGAGTAACATTTCCGATACCTCCCAGTCCGCTTTTGACTTGCGGATAACTCTTCGTGAGGTCACTGTGTTTGATGCATCGCAGCATGACAGAATACCACTTTCAGCATCAAATTGTAGCAGTGTGATGAAATAACCTGCGCTGTGGACAAAAAACGGCTGACTCTGTGGCTCATTGCTTATGTCGTAGACATGTACAGAGCCGTCCTCTTTGCCACAAAAGACAAAAGGCTGAGATCGAACATAAGCGACGGCTGTAATGTTGAGTGAGTCCGTGGACTGATGTTCAACCTCTTGCGGCCCAGTGGTGATCGATACCGTATCGCTATTCTCGTCGTCTATATCATGTCGGAGGAGGACGGATGGTCCCCAAATTCGGCATTGTGGGCCTCGCAATTCTATAAGTCTTTGACTATCCCATGTGAATTTTAATGCCTTGGTCATAATGACATCGGTGTCGAATTGTATGTGGTAGAGAAATTTAAGCGTTTCGAAGTCGAAAAGCTGGATGTCCCCTCTAGAGTCCGCTGTGACAAGTGTTCTCCCATCAGGGGATGAGGAGATGATTTGGGGACATAACCCAGTCAGAGTTCCGATTGGAGTGCCTCTCTGCATATCG